AGCATGTGGTAAATATTCAATAAATGTAAACCTTAATATTAATAATCAAATGAATAAGTGATCACTTATTTCAAGTCAATCTTCCACATTTTTTAAATAGATGTGAATTGAGTGGTTTATTTACAAACCAAAGAAAACTGTAAAATAGTGTGGGAGCCAAAGAATTCATAAGGCAGAGGTCTCAGACAACCGATGAAATGTTATGGCAGCCAAAGTATGAAAAGCACCTCCCATAATGGGGAGTATACACACTGCAGACCTTCTCCACCACATCAGGATTTTGGGCAACAGTGCACATGTACTCAGCATGTTTTTAAGCCTCCAGGCTGGTCTACCTCCGTGGAATCTAACTCCCTATAATAGTTTGGTTTCAATGTTTGTAAGTTTTAGCATAAAATATGAAAATAATATTACCATTTTCTATTCATTGAAAATTTTATAGTTCTAAATATAACTTATTTCATTTTCATAAAGGGCTTATAAAATATATATTATTATTATTTGTTTAAAGAATTGTTTAATTTTATTCATTCATTTATCGTAATTTGACCAGAGAAAGACAGACACAGAGAGAGAAGGAAAGTGAGAAAGCAAGCCACCAGGTCCAAGACTCAAACCAAGGTCAGCCATGTGGGATTGTCCAGTGCCTTAACCACTGCACCACCTGCTGGCCCCATAACGTATGTATTATAATGGCCATTTCACCTATGAGGAAAATGTCCCAGGGAAGTGAAATGACTTGCCCAGCTCAAACAGCTAGTGAGTGGTTAAGCTGGAATCTGAAATGAAGCCCATAACTGGTTAGGGACCTTGTCAGAGTAGGCAGGTTCATATGAGATACTTGGCCTGATTGATTATTGGAAGCATCATCAACCTAAGCCTGTCTGAGAAAATCACTTTGTAACAATGACAGTTTAGTGGAAATGAAATATTATAATTCGATGTAAATTTTAAGTGTATTTAGAGTAAAAGACCATTGCTTAGCTAGTCTTACCAGTCAAGATCCCTCGCTTTCTTAAAGATCTATTGCTCCCTCTAGTGAGAATCAATGGAAATATCATACATAGTAGGAGATTCTCTTAAGCATCTCTTGGAAATTCGTGGATGGCTATTTTGGTAATTACAAAGAATGGGGGCTATTATATTCATGAGGTGAGGTCAGAGAAGCTAGATGACATGCTGTCCAAGGGAAATGTCTCACAACGAAAACTTTCTCCACTTTTGAGAGGGAAAACCTATTGTATTTATCTGAGCCTAGTCTTAAAGATCATTTTACATACAAATAAAATATATATAAAAATATATATATACACACACACATACATACATAGAACATATTTGCGCTATTTTAATGGGAAATGAATTGTCCAGAAAACAAACTATAGTATTTCATCTAATTTAAAATATCATCAGTTGTAAAATATAGTATTATTTTAATGTCATTAAAAAAGAAACATTATCAACTAAATTGTGAGACATAATGCATTCCTTTTGTTTTTAATAGAGATTGTTGCTATAGTGCTCATGTACTTGCTGGAGAGACAGAGAGAGAGCAAGAGAGAGAGAGTCAGACAGACAGAAATTGAGAAATCACCCCCCAGGAGGGATGGCCATGCCAGTCCCAAAACTTTATGTTCAGAACATTTTCTGAAGTGGTTTTTGACTCAGAATTGCCAATATACATGTTTTTTTTTCCCAAGTAGTTCATCCTCTCTGCTACTGAGTGTTTTGATGATGCAGTATTTCCTAAAACAGTATCCAACCCTTGTGGTTAGAGTTTTTATTCAAGCCATGACACTAATTACGTAAGTTTTGATGTTGACAGTTTTTTGAGTCTTCCAAAGATATTAATGGAAAGTTTTCAGACAATGAACACTCCTGTTCCTTTCTCAAATGACCTTTAAACATTTGTCTAGAAGTTAAATTGGTACCAATAACCAAGTTCACATGCATTCAGGCAATGATGATGACAATAATGTCATGAATGGCACCTGACAGGCAGTGTATATAAGACACATTTTGATTTCAGAACTGTGAAAAGATATTTTGCAGTGAAATAAATATAGTACTGTGATACTCAAGGAGAGCGTTTCATCTTTTCTTTTCCAGAATGTAACAAAGACTTGGTCACCATTTTAGAAATCCTGATCACCAAGGTATCTGAACTGTAAGTAAAATATATCTGTATCAGTCTCTGTCCATGGTAATTGCATAATGGCAACAAACACATCTTACTAACCACTTTGCCATTTCTTGTAGGTGTATCATGTTAATGCCTTTCTATATTAAAACAGATACTACTATATTTTACATTTATCTCCATTTTATAGAACTAAGTGTTATGATGAAGTTTTTCTATTAGTGAGTACAAGTAGGTTATATTATCTATAAGTTTCATTTCAAGAATGTAAAGATAGTTTTAGAAAATATCTTATCTGTTATGGAAGGGTGGCATTTGTTCTGATGGAGTTGATGAAATATTGAATTTGGGGAGGATGGATAACTGCTCACCTTCTACACAGAAAGCAAATACTTGGACCCTTTCCTAACAAGTATTAATATGCTTGTGGATTTATTACCTGTTCATGATGATGTGTATAGTATTCTCAACTGGACTGGTCTGAGGTGTAGTTCATGCTGGGTAAATTCTCTTTACACTTTAAATGATGTATAGTGATTGAATGTATAAATAATAATAATAAAATAAAATTGTGTATTAATTTAGCATTAAGTTAGGATGGTTTTTATTTTAAGAACGTGATGCTTTCTTCAGAGAACATGGTTGTTGAGTCAAACTTTTTAGGGTAGAATCACGGGTCTACCACTTTCTATGTCATTTTGGGTATAAATTAGTCAGTCCCTCCTTGCCTTAGTTCCCTAGTGAGTAAAACAAAGGTCATATAGAATTACTTCGTGGGTTTCTTACATGAAAAAAATAATATCATATATGCAATGGTGTTTATAACAGTGACTGGTCCACCAGTAAGTGAGTGAAAGTTATCATTAACTATAACCAGGAAACATACCTTTCTGCAAAACAAAAAGGTCTTAATTTCTGTTAAGCTCCTAGCCAACTAAGAAATAATTCTTCTAGAATCTATGATTCTTTGATACAATGGAAAATAACTTCACATTTTTCTGTGGACTTTTCCCCATAGTGCCATATTAAAACAAATTTTATCATCTGTTGGGCTGTGAGGTTTCTTGCCAATTGCCACAGAAATGCTCTGTCATGTGCCAATTTATTGATATCTTATATTCAAAGGTGCAAAAAGGTAATATATGAAGCATAGGCAAAATACATACCTTCATCAAATAAGATATAATATCAGTTTGGACACACTTTTTTTTCTTTTTTGGAGAGGTATTTTTTGTTTGTGTGTTTTTGTTTTTGTTTAGCTATAGGGCACGTGTGCTCGCCAGACTGACAGAGAGAGACAGAGAGACAGAAAGTGAGAAATCACTCCCCAGGGGGGATGGCCATGCCACAATCGCTTCTGTTCCATTCAACTCTCAGGATCTTGGGCACACACGCACATGTGCCTGGTGTGAGTTTAAGTCACCAGGTCTGGGACTCAAACCACGGTCTACTGCATGGGAGTCCAGCGACATAGCCATTACGCTAACTGCTGGTCACTTTTTTTCTTTTTTCATGATAGAGCACTTGCATATGCACCTGAGAGTAAGAAAAAAAGAAAGAGAGAGAGAGAGAGATTCTCTTAGGATCTGGTCACACTGTAATCCCCTTCCTTCAATCCTCTACACAGTCATATTTTGGGTACTCATCTACATGTCTGATGTGTTTCAGGCTGACTGAACCAGGAATTCAAACTGTGGTCATCATGTGGGATCCAACTTCCCTTGAGCAGCGCATTATAGCTGCACTACAGAGTCAGCTCACTAGCTCACTTAGTTTTATTTTATTAAAATCAACAAATATCATTAAGAATCTACCAAAATCCAAGCTCCATACTATGCTAAGTAAAGACAAAAGAAGCAGTAATCATGCTACTATCCCATGATAGGTTGCTGGAATGTTAGGATGATGAGATGAACACTTATGAAACAACCAGAGTCACTACGAGTAAAATTAAGTGTCAAATTGTATGGAACAGTTCATAAAAAGTTGTAGGAATCCAGAAGACAATTAATGTATGGTGGGGTGGTTAAACTGCACTCAAGAGAAAGTATTAATAGGAAGAATTTAGCCATTACTATATATATGCCCTTCACCACGTTAGTTAACATGTCATTGTTATTTTCCTCCTTTATAAAATTTGACAATTTAATGCATGTAAAATAACTAGCACCTTCTATTTTTTTTGAAGAGGTTTTTTTGCTATAGGGTGCGTGTGCTCGCCAGACAGACAGACAGAGACAGAGAGATAGAAAGCGAGAAATCACCCCCCCCAAGGGGGATGGCCACGCCGCAATCCCTTCTCCTCCATTATCCTCTCGGGATCTTGGGCATGCAAGCACATGTGCCTGGCATGAGTTTTAAGCCACCGGTTCTGGGACTCAAACCTTGGTCAACTACGTGGGAGTCCAGTGACATAGCCATTATGCTAACTGCTGATCCCAATAACTAGCACCTTCTAAAGTAAGATGGATTTTTTTTTTTTTTTAAGTAAGATGGATTGATTGTGGGCCTTAGCAGATGGGTAATATCTGCCTAGAAATGTCTCAGGAAGCAGGATAACCTGGGTCTTGTAAAAGAGACACATTGCCTTTTAAAGATTTTTAGGTATTAAAAGATAAGAGAAAAATTTCACAAGTAATAGCCTTGTTAATAAGCACAATTTTCTGTGGTAAACAGCAACCATTTAAAAAATTTCTTGTATGTGAAAATAATTCGTAAAGCATGTGCGCCTTAGTGCAGGTTGAAATCTTACAGAATTCTTCCTTCCAAAAAAGATTCTTTTTTAAAAAAAGAGATAGAGCACGGAGTGTGTGTATTTGCTTTTCCATGCTCTATTTCCTTTTCTCCCTAAAATACTTACCCTTCATTGGCCTTTCTCCTGAACACTTATTCAAAGTGATTATAACCAGGGTTCTCCATTTCCTATAAAGAAGAGTTATAATCATTTCTCTTATGCAACTTACAGATAATTAAAATTGTAACATTTAAGTTTCCCCCCTCATTTTCTAGATATTTTCCATCAAACTGTCCATATCATACCTTTTTAAATGTATTTACAAGATGAAAGGGGAAAATTTCTCCAAAGAGTTTCTATGTTATCTGGGGAAATTACATTCAGCAGAATTCTAATGACTTTGACAAATAAAACTATATATTCTAGGACTGGCCAAAGTCTGACACTCTTATCTGCTAAAAAATTATAGGCATATTGTAATAATTAAAGTCTACACTTTAGGTCAAATAAAATTATCCCAATTTCAAGATAAAAAATAATTTCATGGCACATAAAAATAAGCAGGTCTTGCAGAAAGTTCTATCATTCATTCTTATCAATATCAAACGTAATCATGGTGATGAATCACAGGGTCTATATATCTTTCTTTAGGCAGACATAAAGTAAGGCCTAGAATTGTTGTCGTGGTTTGTACAAAAAGGGAATTCAGAAATACAGTCTGTGTGGCATAATGGCTATGTCAGTGGACTCCCATGTAGTGGACCGCAATTCAAGTCCCAGACAAGTGGCTTAAACTCACGCCAGAAACATGTACGTGTGTGTCCAAGATCCTGAGAAGAGAATGGAGGAGAAGGAAATGCGACGTGGCCATCCCTCCTGGGGGTTGATTTCTCACTTTCTGTCTCTCTGTCTTTCTCTCTCTGTCTTTCTGGAGAGTGCACATGCCTATAGCAAAAACCTCTCCAGGGACCAGCAATTAGCGTAATGGCTATGTCGCTGGACTCCCACGTAGTCATCCGCGGTTCGCGTCCCAGACCCGGTGGCTTAAAACTCACGCCGGGTGTGTGTGCGTGTGCCCAAGATCCCGAGAGGAGAATGGAGGAGAGGGGATTGCGGCATGACCATCCCCCCTGGGTGGTGATTTCTCACTTTCTGTCTCTTTGTCTCTCTCTGGCGAGCACACGTGCCCTACAGCAAAAACTTCTCAAAAACAAACAAACAAACAAAATAAAAACTCTCCCCCAAAAAAGAAATACAGTCTGGTAGTTTGAGACTTTGCTATGTAAACTCACCTAAATATGCTGGTCTTTTCAGAGTTTGTTTGTTATATTGTGTGACCACACAAATGTAAATTATTTATAAAACAAAATTATCTTTCTGTGGTAGATATCTTCCTTTTCAGAAGCTTTTATTTATATATATATTTTATACCAAAAAATGGCCCTCTAATTTGTCAGCGCCAGATAGAGAGGAGAGCAGAGTGGCAATCCATATGTCCCTTACTTTTCTATAATCATCAAGTTGCAACAGGAAGAACTTATCCTGTTCCACTTTTATTTAACACCTCAATAATCTATGGAATACTGTGCAAGACAGTTCCCTAAGTGCTGGGTAAACAAAAACCTTAACCCATGGTGTATTCATTTTATATTGTTTCTGTAACAAATCACAACAAATTTAAGAGCTTAAAATGAAACAAATTTAGTACCTTACAGTTCTGGAGGTTAGACATACAAAATCAGGGCTGCATTTCTTTGGATTCTTAAGGGAGAATCCATTTCCTCACCTTTCCAACTTTTAGAGATTGCCTTCATTCCTAAGACACCGGTTCCTTCCTCCATTTTCAAAGTCAGGAGCACAGCTTCTGGTTCTTCCTTCCTCTGTTTTCCCTCTGCTTTGATTGTTATCACATCTTCTGTGACTGAACATTCCTGGGTCCTTCTTATAAGAACCACTTACTTTTAGAGAACTCATATTTAATCCAGGAGAATATTCTCATCTCTAGATTCTTAATTTCATCATTTCTGCAAAGTCCCTTTTGCCACATAATAGGTTTTCAGGATTAGGACATGTACATCTTTAGGGCCACCTACCTACCACACAAGGCAAATCAGATAGAGAAAAATGTTGTCCTTTTACACCTTGAGTCAACCAGGTGCATGTTGCATTCTGCAAATTTGTTTTCTACTTCAAGGCCAATTTGGTTATCCACTTTAAGCAATTTTTCCTGATAAACCGGTGATGATATGCCTTCACCCTCAGCCTCATTTCTCTGAAGTCTTGTAACTCTCTAAGATAACTTAGTTTAACTCACAAGTCAGCAAACTAAAGAACCAGAGACACTGATATCATTATCAAATAATCCAATGAACCTATTGCCAGGATACTTCATGAGATTCACACTTCATTATCACATGAGAGCCAAACTTTCCAACCTAATAGAACCAAATACTTTGGTAAGCTAATATAATAGTTTATGGGGCTAGAAACAGCTATCATTTCTGTGTTTTTTTTTTTTTGGTTGTTGTTGTTGTTTTGCTTTTTTTGTTTTTCAGTGAAGAGGCAGGAAACAAGAATTAGTAAATTGATCCTAACTTCAATGTCTGCCAAGATTATGCAGCACCAACTCTTATTTGCTGCAGATTATAAGTTGAGGACTAGCAATGAAAACTACTCAACTGTCTAGTAGTAAAAAATTTGTTGAGCATCTTTTTCTACCAGTAAAGTTGAGGTTAAAATTGTTATGTTTTCATGTCAGTTATACTTAAGGAAACATTTCGCTCTTCAACTTAGTTAAAAATAAAGACAAGACTTTGCTCCCAGCCATATAGCGTATCAGGAAATATTTTTAGCTTCTTGACTGAAAAAAAAAAAAAAAAAGAAATGAAAAAAAACCTCAAAATCAGACAAGCATTTGTTTTCAAACCCTGGACAGCAGGCGGGTTAGGACTGACGCCTGCAACTGCTCCAGTTTACATGCTGCGGGCAGTTTTACACGGACTGTAAGGAGGGTCGCCACGGCCTTCAGTCTCTGAAGACGATGTTCCTTTATTTATGCAAGTAAAATCACGGTTCCTGGCTGGAACTCACAGAAAAAAAAAAAAAAAGAAGAAGAAGAAGAAGAAAAGAAAAGAAAGAAAAGCTTGGCTGACAGAACGGCGGAGCCAATCCCCGGGAGCAGCGAGTTCTCGCGAAACGGTGACGTCACCAACAGAGTCGCTCGCGAGACAGGCGGCTTGGTGGCGCGAGCGGCCGCTACCGTAGGCGGCTTCTGTGAGGAAAACAAACGTTACCTCACCTGTGGCTTGTTACCAGAATGAGCGGCCCGGATGGGGTCGAGAAGACCCCTGTCTCCGAAGCCTGCGGCCTCGCTATTCCCGACCGTGGCCCGGAAGACCCGGACCGACTCCAGTGCGGGAGCCTCCGCGCGGAACCTCCGGCGACACAGGTGACCGCGGAGGCGGGTGAGGGCAGCTCGGAGGCAGTCGCGCTCCCACGGTCCCCGCGTTCAGAGGAGGGGCGCGTACCCCGGGATCCCGCGGGCTGTGGCCCTGCTCCCCAGATCCCAGTCGATGGGGGCCGCGGTGTGGTGAGGCTTGAGGCCGGTCTGGGAGAGGCCCCGCCTTCTTCGGAGAGCCTGGAAGCAACCTCGGTGTTGGTGCAAACCGACAGCCGCCTGGAAAATGACTCTCAGAGTGGGGAAGAAGCCCTAGAAACCCGTGGCTCAGAGAGGTCGGTGCCTGCAGGTATGGCGCCGGGGAAGGCTGAGGAAGCAAAGGCGGAAAAGTGCGCCATCTTCTCAGTAGCAGTGGTTGAGGAAGGGGCTGAGGTGGCAGCGAAGGAAAAGGAGATCATGGAGGAGGTTATGGAGGTGGAGGAAAAGGCAGTAGGTGAAGAAAAAGAAGTGATGGAAGAAGTTGTAGAGGAGGAGAAGGAGGAGGCAGGGCCCTGGCGTCTCAATATGGATCTCCGTATGAACCCTTTGGAGGCTATCCAGCTGGAACTGGACACTGTGAATGCTCAGGCTGATAGGGCCTTCCAGCAGCTGGAGCACAAATTTGGGCGTATGCGGAGACACTACCTGGAGCGGAGAAACTACATCATTCAGAATATCCCGGGCTTCTGGATGACTGCCTTTCGGAACCACCCCCAGTTGTCCGCCATGATTAGGGGCCAAGATGCAGAGATGTTAAGGTACATAACCAATTTGGAGGTGAAGGAACTCAGACACCCTAGGACTGGCTGCAAGTTCAAGTTCTTCTTTCGAAGAAACCCCTATTTCAGAAACAAGCTGATTGTGAAGGAATATGAGGTCAGATCCTCTGGCCGGGTGGTATCTCTTTCCACTCCAATTATATGGCGCAGGGGACATGAACCCCAGTCCTTCATTCGCAGAAACCAAGACCTCATCTGCAGTTTCTTCACCTGGTTTTCAGACCATAGCCTTCCAGAGTCTGACAGAATTGCTGAGATTATCAAAGAGGACCTATGGCCAAATCCACTACAATACTACTTGTCACGTGAAGGAGTCCGTAGAGCCAGACGTCGCCCAATAAGGGAACCGGTAGAAATCCCCAGGCCCTTTGGGTTCCAGTCTGGGTAACCATTGCCTCTGGGTAAACTTCTGCACAAGGACCCCTTAACCTCTTCTGGACTTGTTCTTGTGCAACAGCAACTGGTATGGCTTCTACCCTTTTTTTTGTTTTTTAAACTTTTCTGCTTCTTTTTGGATATTCAGTTCTTTCAACCTCAAAATTCCAGATTGAGACTTGTCACTGGCACGTTTCTCCACTTGCATATGACCTTTTCACTGTTTTTGCATTAATAGCATATGCTGCATGACCATGGTTTACACCACTTCTAAATCAAGCAAATGATACAGTAGATTGCGCTGTCTTTATCTTCACCACTTGGATCCTGCTTATTCCCAGGGCCTCTTCTGTTTCGATCGTCTGGATTTCTCGCCTTTTCGAGGCTCTCATTTTACCCACTTTACTCTCCTTCCAGCAGTATAGACACTTGGTTTATGGACACTTACTAGGCGTTAATGATGACTGTGGAGAGCAGCAGTGGGCACTCATTCTTTATGATTTATACTGCTTTATTATGGTGCCTGACCTTGTTGCCTGTTGCTGCCTCCTAGTAGCTATGCCTACCCTCCTTGGCTACTGCCAAGGTTTCTCTTTGCCCTTTTTCTCCTCTCTCTTTAAAATAAATACAACAAAACAGTGATAATTAAGAAACATGTATAAAAATCGCTTTTTAATTTATTTGGGGTCTGTCATTTCAGTAGATTGTTAAAGCTCTTATTGTCCTCTGCTCTCTTCCCAGCTCCCCAGCCCTTTTAGTAATTTCTGCAAGGCTTAAAGGGAGTCAGAACTACAGGGAATGAAAGGTAAGATCTAGTTGATCGTGGATGGAAGAACTAGAGAGATTGCATGGGCACTCTCAGCTGGGGAAACTGAACAGAAGACTAGAGGCAGAAATGAGCTAGGTAAATCCTCAGACAAGAATGAAGATTGGATTGAGGATGAAGATTGGGCTGATAGAGCCTTCAAGGAAAGAGTACTTAATCTGTCAGAGGTGATAGGAGGAGATTGTAACAGAAGAATTGAAAGGGGTTAGAGTGTTAAATCTATTGCCTAGATGAGGGTTCTTTAAAGAACCCAAACAAACTTTAGGTGTTCTTGTTTTAATGTGACTTAATTTATGTGAAAGAGATGCTGTGCCCCTATTTCACTAGTAATTAGTAAAATCTTGTTATTTTTTTATTCATACTGGGAAAATCAAACTGCAGTATTTATTTTGCTTTCAGTTGGGAATATTTGGAAGAATAACATCTTTATAGAGACTTAGTTGAATATTTGCAACAGTTTTCAGTTTGTTCTTGTTTTTATTCAACTATATTCTTAGAAATGTAGTTTAAATAACTTAGTCTTTGTCAAACCTGTCAATTGTTATTTTCATCTAAAAAACCTATTAAAAGTGGTGTCTCTGTTACCTTAATTTGATCATTTGAACTGTTAAGCAACTTAAATTGCTTAAATTCTTGTGATATTGCTCTGTCAAATTGGAAGTATACTATTGGTGTATTTGTCTGTTGTTTATGCATAATGGTAAAATAAAAGCATGTTACTCTGCAAGATTTCTTATTTTTCACTTTGCTCATAAACATGCTTGAATCAAATTAAGTTAATGACAGATTACAGAATCATTAAAGTTCATATATGAACACAATAGGCATTATCACAAAGGGAAAAAAATAGGACACAGTATTTTACCTTCCCATGTAGGGAGGGGCATTGTTGCTGTTGTCCCATTTAAAATGTTAACAATTATGATTGCTTATTCAGGATGTCAGTTTTTTTGTTTTTGTTTTTGTTTTGGAGAGGTTTTTGCTATAGGGTGCGTATGCTTGCCAGACAGACAGAGACAGAGACACAGAGACACAGAAAGCGAGAAATCACCCTCCGGGGGGATGGCCACACCGCAATCCCTTCTCCATTCTTCTCTCAGGATCTTGGGCACGCACGCACATGCGCCCAGCATGAGTTTTAAGCCATTGGGTCCGCGACGTGAACCACGGTCGACTGCATGGGAGTCCAGCGACATTGCCATTATGCTAACTGCTGGTCCCTCAGGATTTCAGTTTTTCATGTAGCTTGTGAAGCACCACAAACTCTTCAGTTCCTAAAATCCTTTTCTGATATGATATTCTATATCATAATGATATTCGGAAGTTGTTCAGACTCTTGCTTATATCCACTTGTGCACTTGATAAAGAGTGTATATCATATGTGATAAAGTCTTTTATTTCCATTCTTTCTCAAAGTAAAAACTTGTTCGTCTTTCAAACTTCCTTACCCCTCTGGTCAATTCCTTCAAGACCTGTTTTTGGTAACTCCTCTGCCTTGTGGTCTTTCTGTTCCCCATAGGGAAGATAAAATGTTTATTCATGTACCAAGTGTAATTTGTAAGGACCTGTTCTAGAAAACAACACATAATTACTCATTATAGTGAATTTCACAAACATTTATTAAGACATTCTGTTAAGCCATGGGAAGAAAAAATAAGATAAAGTCCATTTCCTTCATTGTTAAAATATTGGGGAAGGATAAATGCATACACTCAAACTGGTCACCACATTGAAGCAGATTCATAGTAGACCACACTGGCCAAGAGAAAGTATTAGAGATGATCTTAACTACTACATTCAGGACCAGTTTCCTCTCTCTCAACATTATTATATAATTAAAATCTTAGACTATGTGGGGGCCAGCAGGTGGCATGGTGGTTAAAGTGCTGGATTCCTGCTTGACCAACTGTGGTTTGAGTCCCAGACTCATTGGCTTGAGGATCATGTTGGGTGTCTTTGGTTGTGTGCACAAAATCCTGAAAAGAGAATGGAAGAGAAGGCATTCTGGTAAGACCATCACCCTTGGAAGGTGATTTTTCACTTTCTTCTGTCTCTCTGGAGAGTGCACATGCCTGTGTTAAAAACCTAAACAACAACAACAACAAAAAAGATTGTATGAAGTGACAGTCTCTTTATCCATTTGTTTACTGGAGATCTTTTACTTGGGATCATTATTTTGTCCACTTTTGCTTCAAGTGCTTTGAATTCTGAAGAGCTACATTAATTCATTTCCTCTAATCTCAGAGGTTCTTAAGACCTGCAGAGAGTTTATGTCCAGCCACATTAAGAAAAATCTACATATCTACTACTTTTTAGTGTCAGGTATTTTTTGTATTTGCAGTGAAAGTAATGAAGAGGCAGGAGGACATGGCTCAATTGAAAATGAAAAGGGACATTTAGTAAGCTACTAATTTTTATATATCCAGATGGTTTAGAAATGGCCTGATGATGGGATAAACACTGTAGCTTTAAATTGGGAGTACATCCCAGTTTTACAATGACCACATAGTGCATTAGCCAAAATTAACTAACTTCTGTAAGCCTCAGTTTCCTCATCCATAATATAAAGATAATACTTGCATTGTAAGTTAATGTTTCATGACGCATTTGGAGACTACATTTTGAGGTCAGAGAGAAAATAACAGCTAACATTTGAGAGCTTACTATGTGTCTGATAATTGTGCTAAAACATTGCAAGTATTAACATAGTTAATTATAATATAGAGATTAGACTCAAAATACCAGCACAATCCCTGGCATATGTAATCCATATTTACATTTATCTTTCTCTGAATTTTAATTTCTCATTTACTTTACATTCAGACAAGCAGTAATCTAATAATGATTCTCAATTAAATTAGGCCCTAAGATACAGCTAAGTTTGAGAATCATGGGTAACCTCTCCTTGTGAGGGAATACCTACTCCCTTCCTAGTTTTGTGAGATGGACTTAGAAATTTGCCACCTTAAAACATTCAGCTATTGCAAAGAACCTACATATGGGTATGCTGTGTATTTTGCAATCTGTAGATTTGTGGAATGGAAATAGCCTAGATCAACAAAACAACTCTTAATTTCAAAACTAGGACAAACCAAATGTCCATCACAGAATTACTGAATAAATAAATGGTGTGTTCATACAGTGGAACACCACTCTGTAATAAAAAGAAAAAGTATTGATGCAACAACAGGGATGAAGCTCAAAAACCAGTAAAACAATTATAGTTAAATGAGTACATACTATATAAGACCATGTATTTGAAGTTCAGTAGCATGGGCCTAACCTCAATGGTACAAACAGTAGTATGTTGAACTATAGTGCTGGAATCCACATGGCCAACTGAGGGTTTGGATTCCAGATTAGCCTGAAGTATAGATACCCAAGATTCTGACCAGCTGGAGGGCCAGGAGCAGGGCTTTGCTGTGTCAGGGAACCTTGGCAAGAGTGCATCTGCTCTTTCTTAAAAATAAGATAATGAACTCCTAAAAGTTTCAATAAATATGAAAAACGTATCTATGGTAATACAAATACAAAGAATGTTTTCTAATGTTTGGAGGAAGTAGTTGGAGAGAAACTTGGACACATTTTTAAGGGGATAGTAATGATGCAGGATATTGGAATGGTCAATCCCAACATCCGTGCCAAATTCAGGACTGTGGGATGACCAGGTTCTTATCCCCCGCTTATGAAGGATTAGAGATGCAGACACAGATCAGATAGCTAAACACAGTTTATTAAGAAAGAAAGAGAAGGAAGAAACGAACTCCTAAGCAGGGAAGGGTCTCAGAAATGGGTTGCCAAAGAGGAAAAAGGGTTTTTATCCCAGCATGAAGGGACTTGTGCATATAGTTCTTTCGTGGGGGTTACGTGTCAGGTGATTCATATTTCCTCCTGTTTGGTAGTGGGCTCACAAATCACAAGTCTTTAGACATTCAGACTTAGTTATTCAACATTCAACAGATCTTTGAGGTCTGTGTCCCATGTTTCTGGTTTTTATCATGGCTCCTCCAAGTCTAAGACAAAGCTTTATTCTTTAATGTATTTTTCTTGTGCTTTTAAAATGTAGTCTCAGACCTCTTCATCTTGCAGGTGCAAGCCTGCATGCCATGTTCCCGTTTCTCAAATGATAGCTTTTAAAGAGTTGCTGAAGGTCTTTTGCTCAGTGCCCAGATCAAGAGACTACACTGTTTGGAATGTAGCAGTGATATAGAAAATGTTAGTTTCAGCTGTCTTTATCTTGAGCAGGCTGCAAGCAGCTCTGACTGTATGCAGTTTCTAATGACTGATTTTGATAGAGAGCAGTGAATAATTTCTTTATTTTTTTTAAAAGGTTTTTGCCACAGTGCGTGTGTGCTCACTAGAGAAAGAGGGAGACAGGGAAAGTGACAAATCACCCCCCACGGGGGAGGGCCACACCACACTCTCTTCTGTATTCTCCTCTTGGGATTTTGGGTACACATTCATATGAACCCAGCATGATTTTCAATCCACTAGTTCCAGGACTCAAACCATGGTCAGCCATCTGGAAGTCTAGCATCCTACCACTGCCCCACCTACTGGCCCCAGCAGAGAATGATTTCTAATAGAAGCTTGGCCAGAGTGACTCCATTTTGTGAGCCTATACCCTATAGTTATATCACTGTATTCCCACATAGTTGACTGTGGTTGAGTTGTGGGGAAAGTCACTCCAACATACAAATGTCTGTGTGTGTGTGTGTGTGTGTGTGTGTGTGTGTGTGTGTGCGCGCGCGCGTGCGCATGCGTGACTACTTCCTACCTCAGTCATGTTCCTTGTTTTCATGTGGGTGATAACACAGGTATAACTGCTTGTCAAAACTTGTTAGCTTGTGGGAACCAGCAGTTAGCGTAATGGCTATGTCGCTGGACTCCCACGTAGTCGACCGCGGTTCGTGTCCCGGACCCGGTGGCTTAAAACTCAGGCTGGGTGCGTGTGCGTGCGTGCCCAAGATCCTGAGAGGAGAATGGAGGAGAAGGGATTGGGGCATGACCATCCCCCCTGGGGGGTGATTTCTCGCTTTCTGTCTCTCTGTCTCTCTCTGTCTGTCTGGCGAGCGCACGCACCCTACAGTAAAAATCTCTCAAAAAAAAAAACTTGTTAGATTGTGGGACCAGCAGTTAGCGTAATGGCTATGTCGCTGGACTCCCATATAGTTGACTGCGGTTCGCGTCCCGGTGGCTTAAAGCACGCACGCACAAGCGTGCGTGCCCAAGATCCCAAGAGGAGAATGGAGAAGGGATTGCAGCATGGCTATCCTCCCTGGGGGGTGATTTCTCACTTTCTGTGTCTCTGTCTCTGTTTGGCGAGCACACGCGCCCTATAGCAAAAACCTGTTAGATTGTGTGCTTAAGGCCCATGCATTTTAGCTTAAGTATTTCTCAACAAATAACAAATGTTTAAGTATTGTTAATTTAAAACTTGGAACTCCATTTGCCCATCTCCAGTCTTTTGGCTTCTCTCCCTCTGTTTAAACAAAAGTTTGAGACTACTAGCAAAACCTTATTTGCAAGTTCTTTTTTAAAAAAAATATGCTAATTTTATTTTTCAAAAAAACTTTCTTTTCTGAGATCAGCAGATGGTATAATATCACGGAACTCCCATGTAATTGACTGTGATTTGAGTCATGAACCTGGTGGCTTAAAATCATTCTGGGTGCATATGAGTATATGCCAAAATCTCAAGAGGAGAATGGAGGAGAAGGGATTGCC